TTTAAGATGGGGTGGGGGCATTTTTTATTTTTTAAAAGCACTCTGTGTGTGTGTGTGTGTGTGTGTGTGTGTGTGTGTGTGTGTGTGTTTCAATCTCAACCCCCTTCTTCCTTTTGCCTTAATGCACTCCAAGGAAGAATGCAAAACAAAACGATCTCTTTATCCACGGATCTTTCCTCCCTGACATTTGGCAATCAAAATTTTTGGGGGCAGTCATTCTTAACCCTGGCCATTTCCAAGTTGCTCGGGTGCCAACTCCCTCACCCACCACCCCAAATGCCCCCCTCTGGCCTCCCCAATATCATCCTTCAAAAGCCTTGGATGAAATGGGTCAGCTTTTTTTAAAATTTTGTCCTAAGAAGCTTCTGTCTCTGTAACCAGAAAGGCTGGACTACAGCTCCCTTCATCCCCAACCAGGCTGCAGAAGGGGACAGCCTTGCCAGGCGAAAATAGGGGAGACCCTTATCTTTGTTCTTAAGCCTTTTTCGGGCGTGGAGGAGGGTGGGGGAAAGAAATAGCCTTTGGGTTTTTTTTTATTTTCCCTGCAAGGAAATGCAGCTTTTTCTAAATAAATAAATAAAATAAAATTGCCAGACGTGGTGGAGGAAAAATAAAAAAAGGGGGGTGGAGGAAGCGAGTCCCAACCAGCGTCGGAATGATTCCCATCCCCCCCCCGCTTCCCTAAAAATCCTCTTCCTCCCACCCCACCTCCGATCCGGTTTGGCTTTGTTCCTCCGCGGACACCGAGCCGCCAGGAGCATCATCCAAAGCGGAGAGAGGAAAGGACGCGCGGCCGGGCGGGCTGTGGTGCAATGCAGAACTTCACGCGTGCCCTCCCCTCCACTCACCCACACACCTCCACACACACACACACGCACACAAAAGCACACAACCAGCTGGTCGCGCGAAACGCTTCCTTGCAGAGATCCTTTTTCCTTCCTTCCCCCGGGAATCCCTGAGAAAACCTCGGCGCCTCTTTTACGCACGGCGGGCGCCCTTTGGAGAAGCGTGGGACACCCCCCCCCCCCAGTTTTGCTCTGAAATTGGGGAGGGGGGGAGGGGGAGGAGGAGGAGGAGGATGCAAGGGGGCCCGGAGGAGAGGGCCCCTGAGATGCCACCTTTCTCCTCCACCTCCCCCCCCACAACTCGCGCAAAAACCCAGGTTTATTTTTAAACCCCGTAGAGCTATTAATAATGCACAAAGGGACACGTGTCCGCTGCAGCAAAAAATCACTCCTGTTTCTTCCCCCCCCACCCGCCTCCCCCGTAAGGAAAAAAAAAGAAAAGGGGGAGGGGGGGACCGAAAAACAGAGGCCCGAACCCCGGGTTTCAAACCCCCGAAAGCTGGCTCGCACCCCCCCCCTTAATCCCGGGTTTTGGGGGCGAGGCACTGGTCTCCCAGCGGTGCCCCCGCAGGGCGCAGAGCAAAAGCGTTTCGTTTTGGGTTTTTTTTTTTTTTAAATGTCTTTCCTTCCTTCCTTCTTTTCGTTCCTCTTGGCTGCCTCCTTTTCTTCTTTTCTTTCCCTTCCCTTCCCTTCCTTCTTTCCGTTCTTCCTATCCTTTCTTTCCTCCTCCTCCTCCCCTTTCTCTTTCCCTTGTTTCTTGCCTATCCTTTCCTTTCCTGCCCTCCTCTCCTTCTTTCCCTTCTCTTTTCTTCTTTTCTTTCCCTTCCCTTCCTTCTTTCCGTTCTTCGTCTCCTTTCTTTTCTCCTCCTCCCCTTTCTCTCTTTCCCTTTTTTCCCCCTTCCTATCCTTTCCTTGCCTGCCCTCCTCTCCTTCTTTCCCTTTCCATCCTTCCCTTTCCCCCCCTTTCCTTTCCCTTCCCTTCTTTCCTACCGTCGTTCTCCATCCCTTTCTCCCTCCTCCATCCTACCCACGCAGGGCTGGACTTACCTCTTCCCGAGGGGGCCCCCCAGCCGGGGTGAGCGTGGGCAGCTCCCCGGCGCCCGGCTGCTGCTCGCCGTCTTCTGCCCCCACGCCTGGCATGGTTCACGCGTGGCGCCGCCAAGCCGCCGGCCCAGCCGCATCGTAGGCTCGGGCGAGGGGCTGGCCGGCCCCGCAGCAGCCGCCGCTCCAGCTGGGCCTGCCCCCGCAGTCCCCGCAGCGGGGCATGGGGGGGGTTGGAGAGGCAGTCACCGGTGCGCCCTTGCCTGGCACCCACCTGCCCGGGCGCCCGTGGGCTTTTGGCGGGGACGGCGGCTCCGCCCTCCACACGGCGGGGCTGGAAAGCACAAAGCCCGCCGGACCCCCGCCCGCCCCCCCCCCCGCCCCCCCCCACACCAGCCCCGTTTCCCCTGCCTGGACCGTCCCGCAGCAGCCGGTTAAGGAAGAGGCTGCCCAGCCCTGCCCGGCGGCGACGGCGGCGACGCTCATCTGGCTCCTTCGCTCGCTTTCTTTCGGCCCCGATGACTCGGCAGGCAGGCAGGCAGGCTCATCCCCACGTGTCCCTCCCCCTTTCCCCTTTGCACGCACGTCGGAATGCCAACCTGGGTCGAAATCAACTCGCTTTTCTGAGCCACCCCACCCCCACGTAAAAAAAAAAAGCCTTCTAAAGTTTGCAAAAAAGAGGCAACTGCCTGGGAGAAACCCGGGTTTCTATCAAAGCAAATTTGGTCTGTGAAATATGAGACACACCCCCCCTCAAAAAAATTCTCCCCATTCGGAAGACTTTTTTGGGGGGGGCATCTTCAGGGGTCCCCATCAGCGGAGAAGTCGCCAGGTTTCTAATAGCCTTCCCTACTATGTGCGAAAAACAGCCTGGCCTGACTGAACTAAGATCTGACCCGGATCTAGTCAAACCACAGGTACAATGAACCTACAAATGCTCCAAGGTCTGGAAGCGGGGTGTGTGTGTGTGTGTGTGTGTGTGTGTGTGTGTGTGTGTGTTAGGTGAGCTGGCCTGTAACATTCGGGGTACAATTGCCCACAATGCTTCTGAGAGCATGGGGAGCATTGTGGGTAATTCACAATACTTGACCGGATTGGCTTGATTAACCGGAACAGGGACAGCAAAAATATTTAAAAAATAAAAAGGGAAATAGAATCAGGGAGTAGCAGTAGACACAGGGTTGTTTTGATCTGGTATTGTGCAATACACACACGCGCGCGCACACACACACAAATGCACATGTGTGGCCATGGCTTATTTTAATAGGCCATTGTTTCAGCCTTAGGAATTTTTCGTATTGTGGATTTCAGCTTTTGTATTGTGGACTTCAACTCCCAGAATCCCCCAGCCAGCATGCTTTAAGATGGACTTCAACTCCCAGAATTCCCCAGACATCATGCTTTGAAACTTCAACTCCCAGAATTCCCCAGCCATCATGCTTTGAAACTTCAACTCCCAGAATTCCCCAGCCATCATGCTTTGAGATATGAGGACTTCAACTCCCAGAATTCCTCAGCCATCATGTTTTGACACTTCAACTCCCAGAATTACCATGCTTTTACCCCTATTTTTGTCCAGAGAAATGTAATATTAGACCTGTTATTTTTCAACCTTGGTAACTTTAAAATAGGTGGACCTCAACCTCAAGAATTTTCCAGCATGCTGGCTGCAAAACTCCCAGAATTCCCTTCCTGGCTGGAGAATGCTGGGCGTTGAAGTCCTGCCATCTTAAAAATCCTGAGGTCAAGAGAGAAATATGCTAGACGTGTCCTGGAAACGCAACCCTATTAAAATTGGGTAGAAATCTTATTGTTTTTCAGTTCAGGATGGATCTTCAGAGGATCAATTGGAAAAAAATATATATATTATTTCTGTGCATATCTGCTTTCTACGCCAGGAAGATTTAATGACAACCATCAATGAAATGTTTTGTTTTTTTTTAAAAAAGATTCAGTTTGTTAATTGTTTAAAAGGGATCAGGGTTTTAAACAACAACAAACTGGATCTTTTTTTAAAAAAGAAAATTACATTTCATTGATGGTTTAGACCTGGCTTATAAATGTGATCACGTTCTCCGCAGGCCTCGGATTTTATTCTAGTACTCAAGGAAGGTTTTTAAGGGAGAGGAGAGCTGGGGAGATCCACAAATTCTTGGATGAGATCAGAAAGCTAGAAGCTGAATTCCTGCGAGATGTTTGAATAATCGCCTTTCCGGCGACGTTCAATAGATGGCAATGTCGGGTTGCCACAAATCTGGGTTTAGATTCGGAAATGGATTAATTAATGTAGGAGGGCAAGAACTGAGTGATTAACTATTACTGTTAATCTTCTCATCACTCCTTATCGCCCATCCTGTCCCACCTGTGACCGTATGACTCTAATTTTGTCGCTTGTATCCTTACGATGTATATTGACTGTTTCCTAGTATGATCTGATTGCAAGGGATTATGGGGTCCTTAAAAGATGATGATGATTCCAAACTTGGTAGCTTTAAGACTCGTGGACTCCCAGAATTCCCCAACCAGCCATGGCTGGCTGGGGAATTCTGGGAGTTGAAGTCCACGGCTCTTAAAGTTGCCAAGTTTGGAGATACCTGGTCTTTAAAAGAACAAGGCTTAGTGCATTATGGCCTTGCTGAACTACAACTCCCAGCACCGCTCGCGATCGGCCATATTTCCTGGACTTGCGTCTCAGCCAATCAGAGCGAGGCTCTGTAATTATTGGAAAAAAAAAAAAAAACCACGGCCGACTTCCTTGAACCCAACGACACACCTTTGCGCATCCCGCCGCCCCTTTCCTACCTGTCGCTCTCCTAGCTATAGACCACAACTCCCATCATCCCCTGCCTCGCCTGCCATTCATCAAGCTCCCGGGGTGGGGGGGTGGGGGGGGGGGAGGGCGGGGAAACGCCTTTCCCAACGTCGTTTCCAACCCTTTCTGCGCGTGCGCCCGACGGCCCGCGAGCTCAAGAACGCCCGCGAGCAGGACTCCGCCCCTTTGGAACCTCCGCGGGGGCGAAATGGATACATGGCCCGCCAATCAGCGCGGCCGGCGGCTGCGAAAGGATACAGCGGGTCAGCCAATGGGAGCGGCCGCTTGAGCCGCGCCGGCGCCTTTGAGGACGTGGCTCGAGGAGCCTTTTTTCTTCTTTGATCTCTTCGCAACTTTGCTCCTCTGGGTTGTTGTTGTTTTTTTAAAAAATTTTTAATTATTATTTTATTTAAGGGCCTTTTTTTTCCCCCTCCCCCACGCGGGGCGAGAGTGGATCGTGGGAAGCGATTCAAAGAGGGGCGCCATGGCTTATCCCCCTGGATATGGGGGTCCAGGTAGGTAAAGTGGGGGGGGGGGTGAAGGGAAACGGGGAGCAGGCCGGGTGGATCCCAGTGGGGATCGAGTGGGGGGGGGTCGAAATGGGGGCCCGGGAGGAGATCCAGCCTTAACTCCCCCTTCTCGCCTGTTGCTTTAGGAAAGAGAGCCTTCCAAGCCAGGCCCGTCCATTCCAGTGGGGATCCAGTGGATCCCCAGATCCTTCTGGACCCCCAAATCCGGCTGGCCAAAGTGGGGGGGGCAGCGGGCCCCTTCCGGGGTGCATTTTTTTTTAAAAAAATTGATTTGACTCCAAGCACCCCGCCCACTTGAACCAATGAATCCATCCCAATTTGGGGGGGGGGTTGGAGTTTGCACCCCCCAATTTTTTTGGGGGGGGAAATCCGGGGGATCCCGTCTGGGGTGGGGGTGCCAAATTACATTGGGGGGGGTGTCGCTTATGGGTGGGTTTTCCCTGTGGCTGGGTGTTGCTTGGGGGGGGGGGCCAGAAGGGGGATAAATAAAAATAAAATACATTTTGAAATAAAGATTAAATAAAGATTCTTTGTTTTGAAATAAAGATTAAATAAAGATTCTTTATTTTGAAATAAAGATGAAAACGTGGGTGCTTTTCCTGCACTGTGAGCCACTCAGAGTCCCTTGAATAATGAAGAAACTTCAAAGCGGAAGGGTAGATTTAGTAAACTAGACAGGTTCAGTCCTGCGCCGAGTGCGAATCCTTGATTGTACCCTATGATAGGTAGTTCTTGACTTACAACGGTTCCTTTAGTGACCGAAGTTACAGTGGGGAGAAGAAAAAAAAAGGCAACTTGGGACCGTTTTCACACTTAACAACCGTTGCATGTCAAAAATGGGCAATTGACTCGTATTTATGACAGGGTTCTCAGATCACGTGTTCCCATTGGCGACCCATTCGACAAGCCAGATTCTCTTTAACAACCGCCTTCCTAACTGAACAATCGCAAGGGTTCGCTCAACGACCGTGGCCAGGAAGGTTGTAAAACGGGGCAAAACCCTCTTGACCAATTTCTTGCCTGAGCCGCATCGCTTAATAACTTGTCTCGCTTAGCGGTGGAAATGTTGGGCTGTTAAGAAGTCGCGGTCGTTAAAGTCGAAGACTTGCCTGTAACAGGTAGATTCGGCCCTGTACCGAGTGCAAATTCTGGGTTGCATCCTATTAGTTGGCTGCTGGCTATGCGGTTCCTTTCTACTTCCTAATTCCACCCCCCCCAAAACAGGCTCCAAACACAGGTCCAGGATCCCCCCTGTGCCACAATCTCCAGATGCGCCGCAACTCTTCGATGACACCAGCTCGGGCTACGGGCCTCCCCAAGCGGGATACCCGCCCCCTGGGATTGACATGAGCTTCAACCAGATTTTTGCCGACCCGGTCGCTAATGTCGCTATGGCTTACGGCTCCTCCATTGCGTCCCAGGGCAAAGACATCGTTCATAAAGAGGTAAAAGAATAAAAATGTGAGAATCCTCTTTAAAAAAAAAAAATAGGTGAAGGAGAGAGTCGGGGGTACAATTGTTGGTGGCCGAACATCCTTTATTTTAGAAAGTGTTTCTTTAGATTTATCTAATATACTTTTCCAAACCTCATTTTGGTCCTTTCTTGTATGATGTTTATAGAACATGGAATAATAAAAGAAATAATAATAGGATACATGCAAATACCTGGAATACAAGAGAAAACATACACCGTAGAATGATAGGGATAGGTGAATGGGTGGATGGATGGATGGATAGATAGATGGGTAGTTGGATAGATGATAGATAGGTAGACTGACAGATGGATGGATAGATAATATAGATAGATGATAAATACAGATAGGTGGGTGGGTGGATGGATGAGTAGGTAGATAGTTGAATAGATGATAGACTGACAGGTAAATGAATAGATAGATGATAAATGGATGGATGGATAGATACAGATA